CAGTGACTCCCATCTTGTCATCAATCATGTATTTGGATAATATGAAGCCAAAGACGGCAGAATGGCCAAATACCAAACCCTTGTAAGGGAAGAGATCAAAAAATTTCAAGTAGTCAGAGTCGAACAAATTGGCTACAAAAAGAACAACCGGGTAGACGAGCTAGCTGATTAAGCTTCTATGGCCGACAAATCGACACTTGGCCCTTTATTGATTGAATTCCTCCCAAGGCCCAGCATTGAAGAACTAGAAGTAGCAGAGATCCTCTGCACCAAGCTAGGGCCCTTCTAGATGGACCCTATCATAATCTTTCTAAAAGACAAGATCTTGCCGACCAACAAGAAAGAAGCAAACAAAATTTAGGCTAAATTTGAGCGATTTTGGCTCTCTCCTTCTGGCGTCTTGTACAAAAAGTCCTTCACAAGACCTTACTTGAAGTGTGTCCATCAGAGCAAAGTCGAAACTTTTCTTTTTGAAATCTATGAAGGCATGTGCGGAAGTCACATCGGTGGTAGATCTCTAGCTTATTGCGCTATTTCGCAAGGGTATTAATGGCCTTATATGTAAGCTGACGCACAAAAATAAGTGAGAAAATGGGAAAAATGCCATAAATTTACACACCAGATTCATTAACTGGCCAGAGAACTCCTCTCTCTTACAAGTCCTTGGCAATTCGCAATGTGAAGGGTGGACATAGTGGGACTACTCCCAACCGCACCTGGCAACTGTAAATTCTTTATTGCAGCGACAGACTACTTCACCAAATGGGTAGAAGCTGAGCCTCTGGTGACCATTAAGAAAAAAAAATGTAAAGAAATTTGTTTGGCAAAACGTGGTAGCACGATTCGGAGTCTCCAAGGCTCTAATCTCCGACAACAGCACCCAATTTGATAGCAAATTATTCAGAGGATTTTGCAAGGAGTTAAATATAAAATTTTACAATTCAACACCGGCTTACCCTCAATCGAACGACCAAGCGAAAGAGTCAAACAAGACCATTCTGGATGGATTGAAGAAGAGGCTGGAGAAGGCGAAAGGAAAGTGGACCGAGGAACTTCCTAATATTCTATAGGCTTACCGAACAACACCAAGACATTCAACAGGGGAGACGCCTTTCACCTTGGCATATATCATAGAGGCGGTCATCTTGCTGAAAATCGACATGCCTACCATTCAGAGTAAAAACTTTGAGCCAGATTTGAATGTAAAAGCTATTGCCCTGAAGCTGGATGTCGTAGAAGAACAAACGGAAAATGTGCTAATCCACATTGTAGCATACTAACAAGAGCTGTCCAGGAAGTACAACAAAGCAATCCATCCAAGACAGTTCAAAATCGAGGATTGGATCTTGCGCAAAGTAATGGGCAACATCTTAATATTGGGCAAAGGAAAATTGGGAGCAAACTAGGAAGGACCTTACAAGATAACCGATTTGACAGGCAAGAGGCATATCACCTGGAATGTCTAGATGGCCAAGCCATACCTAGGCCGTGAAACGTAGCGAATCTGAATTTTTTTTTTTACTTCTAGTCCTGCTCTCAATGTAACCCCTCTTATTTCAGGATGTAAATTTCCAACCCTTGCTGTAAACTTGTTAATGTAATGAAAACACAGTTCATTTTATATGCAAGTTGTAGTTCTATTTTCATTCCCTTCTGATGTATAGACTACGCCGCAGAGCTAGTTTTGCTCAACAAAATGAGTTGATGATTGGTTCAACTTGAAGCTCCTTGCCGATCTAATTTCAGCTTGGTAAGATGTAAAGTAGGTGATTTTCCCAACTATTGAATTCCTTGCCGAAGCAGATTTTAGCTCGGCAAGATTAAAAGTTGGTGATTTGCTTAACTGTTGTGTTCCTTGCCAAAGCGGATTTTAGCTCAGCAAGATGAAAAGTTGATGATTTGCCCAACTTTTGTGTTCTTTGCCAAAGCAGATTTAGCTTGGCAAGACGGAAAGTTGGAGATTTGCCTAACTGTTGTGTTCTTTTCCAAAGTAGATTTAGCTTGGCAAGACAGAAAGTTGGTGATTTGCCCAACTGTTGTGTTCCTCGCCGGAGCAGATTTAGCTCAACAAGATGGAGAGATGGTGGTTTGCCCAACAGTTGTATTCCTTACCGAAGTAGATTTTAGCTCGGCAATGTGCTCGATTTGCTCAAATCTTAAGCTAATACCGAGCTAATTTTGATCGGCAGGAAGGGTTGATGGTGTTTAACTCTTCAGGCCATTGTCGAGCTGATTTTAAATTGGCAGATTTGGTTGATGAGTTCAAGCTTTGGAATTATTACCCAGCTAAATTTGCTTGGCTGATTGGGTTAATAGCAGAGAACAAACATGCATCAAACTTGAGAAACAAAGATGACAAAAAAGTAAAATTTTCATTGATGGGAAGTCATGTACATAGTAGGGGCAGACAGCCCGATTACAATATTCATAAAACAAAAGAGAAAAAAAAGAAGAAAAATTGATAAGTGATACAAGAAGGGACAAATCATCAGCAAAGTCATCACCAAGAGCTACCCTCTTCTACTCGGTTGTAGTAGCTCTCTCATGCTTCGTTACAACAGCGTCTTCGTCCTCACCGAGCTTGGTCTGTGCAGTCTCTACCACTTCCTCGGCCTTCTCTTCTTGCAAGGCATTGAAGACGTTCTCAGCATACGAAACAATATAGCCCGGCAGGAAGTGGAGGGAAGGAACAGTGAACACCTCAGTCGAAGGACCGTGATCAAGCTTCTCACAAGCCGCTTTCCAGCCAGATTTGAAGAAAATATCCTTAGTGGCTTCGACTTGCTTCATGTAGCTTTGCTCGGCCTCATTAAAGCCTTTGTCTTTGGTTGCCTTCTCAACATCAGCCATTTGTTTCCTCAGCTCTTTGAGCTTGACGCGCACAATATCCCTCTCTTGCTCGGTGCTGGACAACTGACCGTGCATTCTGGAGTTATCAATGTTGGCTAGCTCAAGTGAAGCCTTGGCCTACCCAAGCTCGGCCTCAAAATACTTGCCCTGCGCGGTGGTGTACCTTTTACCTTAGGTTGATCACATGTTCCATCACCATGTGGGTCTTTTGGATCACTTGCAAGATGGAAAACAATTAGAAGGCAAAACTGAGCAAACAATTAACCAATTTTTGGTATAACACTTCCCTTGGTCATGGACATTACCACGAATTTGACCATCTGGGTGTCTGGCATGTGGTCGATCCCGAGCATGTCACTCGGTAACAGCGATGACTTGGATAAATCAAAGGTGAGGAGGTGCTCTTTGTCCCATTTGATAGAAGCGTTAAGGATGTCCTTGCCTCGGTGCCTTAACTTTGGCTGCTAAGCAGGAGTTGGCTCAACCTCTACTGTATGTTCGCTGCTTAGCTCAGCTACGAGCTCAGCCGAAGGATCAGCTAAGCGAGCCCGTTTGCCAGCCGAGCAAGATTGTATACTAGAGGATTGGGTGGTGGAAGAGGCTAAGGTCAGCAAGGTTGCTAAACCTTTATCGATTATTGGAGTTAGTGGAAATATGTTGCTCGACAGTTCTTGAGAGTTGGTTGTGATGAGATTCTTGATCATGTTCTTTTTTGCCATCTCTTCTTCCTCGGTTAGGTGAATTAGTGGGTCATTTGAAAGACTTAGATCTGGAGGGGAGAAGGCTCAGACAAGAAGTCTATGACTTTGTTCTTTCTTTTGGCCAAAAAACAATAGCTTGGCACGTAACCGAGCAAATCGTGGCAGTTGCGCTTCTTCTATTGTAGCATGGTTCTTACCGCCACTTTGTTAGGACGTGAGTACAACGCTTGTAGCTCAGTGATACCTGCAGAAGAAACTTGTTAGCTCGGCTACTCTGTTTATTATGCAGAATGTGTTGGTAGAGACTTGTGTAGGGCACAACCTAGTGTGTCTTAAAAATTCGCACATCAAAGGTTTCACGGGGAAGCGAAGGCCCCCCTTTTATAATTGATAGCACGGTAAAGGGGCAGACATTCTGTCTACCCCAGGGAACTATCCCCTCCTTGTTGAGCTCAAAGTATACATCGACGGGAATGCCATATTCCTCACGGAACTCAGCTAGGACGCCCGATGTGTTCACCAAGAAGCGGTATCGCCCCATGTAACCAAGTGTGGTTTGCCCGACAGAGGGTGTTAGTCAAATTATGTAGCGGCTGCTCTGTCTTTGAGAGCACTTATGTTGGTATGCCTAGTTGCCTAGGATTCTGCATAGTGGAAAATCAAATTGAAGTGCAAGTGGAAGCTCAGTTATGTGCAATGAGCTGGGTTTTAGCTCAGCCCATGTGGACAAGACGTGTTTTATCTCGGCCGAGAAAAAGAGTTGGGTTTTTAGCTCGGTCGCACTATCAAGCCAGGTTAAATCTCGGTTCCATAAATGTATCTAGTCCTATATCAGCTGTGCGAGCGAAGTGGATTCTAGCTTGGTCGCGCGGCCTCCTAAGTTACTTTGATTCCTAGCCCAGTTTCTTCTTCAGATGTGACAAACATAAAGTTTGCTCGGCTAAATTGAGATTTTAGAATAAAAAAGTTGGTTTTTAGCCTTGTCTAGCACAGATCCATCCATGTTCATCTTAGGGTATGAATAGGACGATGAACAGCCAAGGTTTAAGGGCCATTTAAACACTAGGGGTGGTTCGAAACCCCTGTAAAAATGTGTTTTCAGTAGGATTTGGTGCTATTATCGTGTTTTGAATATGGATTTGGCAGTATAAACTCAAGAACAGTCAAAAAGCACATATATAACAAATGAGTGAAAATGGGCATGAAAAGACTTACGGGTTGAAGACCAAATTAGTGTTCCAATCGATGAAGGCAGTTCCGATGATAGCTATGGCGAAACAGGACATCCAGTAGAAATGCTTTAAGTTGTGCAATAGATGCTAAAAGCCAAGGTTTTTTCTTTGGTTTGCAAGGTATTCTCTTTGAAATGGCAATGAACAGTGGTGAGAAGTGAAGGAGACGACGACAATATATATATATATATATTTCACCCTTGAAGGGGCGCCAAAATTTGAGAGGTTTCTTAGGAAATCACATCCAAAATCATTACATGATGACGCATGTCCCACTAAGAAGACATTACATCAGTATAGTGGGAGGGACCGCGCTCCTTCTGGCATGAAATTCGCACCAAGCTCCTTGAGATGTCAGATTCGCACCATGCAGTTCATCTAAATGGACAGGGTATTTAGTTCAACCAGTTGTAGTAATCTTGGTCACGCGGAAGTAGACGAGATTAAGGGGCAATTGAGAGGGAGATTTATACCAAATAAGTGGGCCGAGCATATTCTAGACTTGGGCCGTTGCCTTAGGCCTTACGGTTGGTCTGGAGAGACACCTAGCATTAGGTCATGGTATTCAGTTAGCTCAGTCTAGGGTTGAGGCTGATGGAATGGGTGTTGCTCTCAATCGAACTGAGGGGCATCTTTCGATCTCAACCAAACGGAGGAATGACTAAGATCAATGACCCAGTTACAAGCAGACCAATCTTGCCAGCCTTGGCTTAGTGCCGAGCAAGGCTGGACTGGACGATTTCAACTGACCTGACCGAGTTGTAGGTGACCGGCTGAGTACTTTGGAGTTAGGCTAGTCGGTAGGAGTTGTTCGTGAAGTGGGCTATTGAGCACCAAGTTACGGGAGAGTACATTCACGTGCCCAAGGGAGGACGAGCAGGGTAATGCGCACACAAACTATATAAACCTGTAGCGCCTCCATGCAACAAGTTTGCAATTTTTTTACATAGAGCTATCTTCTCTTTTGTCCACTTCTCTCTCTATGACTGCTAACTTGATTGTTGGAGGGGTTTTCCAACAACACACCTACCGAGTAGCTCACTGTGGCTGTGTTTTTAGGCTTGACGACGTTGCTCGGAGAAACGCAAAGCTTGGACGTAAGGAGTACGGAAGTGTAGAATATTTGCTCCCCGTACAATGGTGATCTAACATAGTATCAAACTAATCAAAGCTTTAGTTACTGGTAGGTTTTGGGTTCAAGTTTGTTTGTTTGAATTTAGTTTCCCATTTGGTATGTTTGCTTGAACTATGTTTGTTTGTCTGTTTGTCTCTCCTCGTTAGAGAGGGTGTTAGATAGCTTGATGTACATATTGGGTCCATTTTCCAACAGTTTAAACTTTTGGGACTGGTAGTGATCTAACATAATGATCTAATCAAAAGGTTCCACATATGACTATTTATCATGTATAACCAATTTGTCCATTACACAAAGTTCGCCTTCTTTACATATGCAAGAACTTGATTTTCAACTCAATTTGTAAATATTAAGATGTCCAACCATACTTAATGTTCATACATAGATATTTCTCCATGTTATCTCTTACTGCTTTAAAAGTCAACATGGTTTTGATTTTTGCAGTGGCAGCTCTTAGTGAAATAGCTGAACAATTGGGTAAAAAAGACTGGAATTTGAGTCTGAACCATTGTGATGAATACACACCAATCTCCCCAGGCATATATAATAATATTGTCAACTGCAACTGCTCTTCTGCTGATGAATGTCACATTAGTGTCATGTATGCTCCTCTTTTTTTCTGTTTTTAAATATACATATTTACTTATTATTCAAGTGCATTTTTCCTAGAAGATTTTATTTGTGATTTGCTATGATGCTTGAATACTAATGCTCTGCAAGTTAAAACCTTTTTATGAAGGTTAAAAATCCAAATTCTACCTTGCATAGACTTTAGACAATTAAAAGAGGGCATATCTAGTGTGTGACATGATCCTAATTTAGATGACTCACTACAACAAAATGGTCGACATTTTTTGCATCACTTCTCTTTTTATCCACCAGAATAGCAAGAATTCCATTCCCAGTTTTACTGCTATTTTCACCTACTACAGATTATTTTTGGGGCTTAATATCTTGTTGAATGTCCCTATATGTTGGTCATATATGCAGGCGCATGGGTTTTGGCCATATGGAGTAATAAATATTTGCCTAATTATTTGTTATTGTTAGTTATTTAATGGTAGGCCTCGACACTCCATTGTGATCTAAGTGTCATGGATTTGAAATACAGAAACAGCCTCTCATATGTAGGGGTAAGCTTGCACCCTATGTACATTTCACCCTTTCCAGACCCTGCCGTGGTGGGAGCCTCCTGCATTGGGTTGTGCTCTCTTATTTGACAGCTTTTTCAATGAAGTCACAAGCTTATAATCTTTCAAAGTGTAGATGGTAGGCAGTAGAAAGAGACTTTAATCAAAATGTCCAAATCCTTCACATGGGGACCAACCCATAATTATCATGTGAGCTACTCTATTACCATACTGTCTGGCATAATGGAAGTTCTTTTCAGGTGTTCTCTAAGCAAAATGAGAAATTATACATATGTAGTGAAGAATTTTTTTCCTATAATGTTATCAATCATGCATGTTTGTTTTTGGATTTTTTGAACTATGTTATTGTTCCTAGCTCGCTATTGGTTTGTCACTTTTTATTTATGCCATGCACTCTTCATGGTTTCCATGAAAACATATTCATATTATATTGCTAATTGCTAATTTGCTAGGCTAGTTGGGAAAATCAAGGCCATATTTTGATGTCAAGTTATGTTAGGGACCCTAAATAATCTATCAAATTTTTTACCAAACCTCTAACATGGGTGTGGAAACCCATACACATGTGGGTTTATTTGGATCCCATACCCATGTGAGAGGTTTGATAAAAAATTTGGTAGATTATTTGGGATTTATAGCATTTTCCTTTGATGTCCCATAAAACTGGAATGACTGCTAACAGTATTCATAGTATTTCAAGGTGGAAATCTAACATCTTGAGCTTGCAAAGTGACGAGAATAAATTGTAGCCAATCTACAAATGAAATTTCAAAATTATGAATAAGGGTACGTGATGAAACAGTAAACAAAGAACCACTCTAGGGTTTCTGCAATTGTCTCAACTCAATCAATGTTAATTCAATCAAAGGGAGTATCTTCCTTACACAATCCCATATATATATTTGTTCCATAACCATAACCAAATAAGGAAATTAAAGAAAACTGAAAAATAAATCAAATGGAAACAAATCCTAAAACTAAATCTCCTACTATGCTGTCAATTGGCACCTCTTGCTCCTAAAATATGTCTTCAAGCCTTTCCTTTCTTGATCTCCATCAGTAAGTTTTCTTTCTTCATTAGGTGACCTCATTTCAGCTGAGTAAACTTTTACTTCAACTACTAAAATGTTTAATAGGTGCTTTCAAATTCAAGGGGAATGCAAAATTCACACTATGTGATTGACAATACCTTGGTAGTTAGACAGCTACTCCATCGACTTTGATCTCATACATGGCACGTACTGCCGATTTACATACCTAATTACATATGTATATGGGTGCCTCACATAGATGTTTTGAACATTAGCATTTCTAAACTCTTGCATTGGCTGTGTGTGTACACTTATTACTTGGAGTTTTTCATGGTTTGTGCTTTTAATTATTTGTTGTTAACTGTTATCCATTGTTGCATTTTGTAATTGTTTGTTTTCTTGGTGATGACTCTTTCTATGTTGTATATAGTATACAAATCTCTAATTCAATAATGAATAATTGATTGCTGGAAGAATTTATCTACCTCATTGACAAGGGTTGAATGTAACATTTACATACTAGAAAGTATCCTAAACCAAAATCTGAATCCAAGTCTTTTTGTTTCCTTGTAACAGAATTCTCACAGGGCAGGGTCTTTCGGGTGTCCTACCACGATCGATAGTGAAGTTACCCTACCTTAAAACTATGTGGGAAGAGCTTCCAAGTTCCAAATTTATGTTTGTTCTTCATATCTGTTAACTAGTTTTTATGATTCCATCATGTTCAAAGTGCTATCTATTATTGTGTATAGTGATTTATCTCGCAACTATCTCAGTGGTCCTCTTCCCCCTGAATGGGCTTCTACCAAGTTGGAACATATGTGAGCAATATATGCACTTCTCTGTTAGTTTAAGGAATGCACTATACACCCTCAGTTTCCTAAAATTAACGAAGTGAAGCTTCTGTAGGTATCTTTCTATGAATCACATATCAGGAACAATTCCAAAGTTTTTGGGAAGTATTACCAGTCTCACCAATTTGTATTCTCTCTCTCTCTCTCTCTCTTGCGTGCATGTGGATATGAACTATGAACGTTGGAAAAGAACAAATTTTCAAAGTTTACATGATAAACTTGTATTGTAATTTTGAAAGAAGTTCAATTTTCAGGTGCTTTGAAGGCAACATGTTTAATGGAACTGTTCCAGCAGAGCTCGGGAATTTGGTCGACTTATTATATCTGTGAGTCCTATCCTACATCACCTATTCAATATAATTCATATATCTTTATCCAACCCTAGATTTTAAAAAATTGTACAATTCATCACAAATTTATATGTTTATGTTGATTACCCCTTTGGGCACTGTAGCAATCTTAACACTAACAATCTCACTGGGGAGCTGCCAAAGGAGTTCAGTAATCTGATAAATTTAAGAGAACTGTAAGTTCATTAGTAATCTTGTGCAGTATCATAATTATAAATTTGTGTCGTGCCACTGTTTTTAGTAGTTTTAATCTTTTCTTTGTTTTCAACTTTGGGTAAAAGCAGTAGGTTGAGCAGTAACAATTTCAATGGAAAGTTACCCAGTTTCCAGAGTTGCGAACAACTTAGAATACTGTAAGTGTTTCTTCTTTTTAAGTATTCAATAACATTTGAAAAGATAAAAATTTCTAGTGCAATTTTAATGCATTTGATATCTATCATGACAGAGAGCTTGAAGCAAGTGGGTTTGAAGGGCCTATACCTTCTGACGTTTCTCTGTTGCTTAATTTAACTGAAATGTAAGTTCAGATTTTGTGGTCATATTTCTTGGAATAAGTAATTTTAGTACTATGCTTTTAAGCTTTTTAAATCAAGATAGATATTTCTAAAGGCAAGCATTTTTAATGGGATCTCTGAGCAGAAGGATTACAGACTTGAATGGAGGGGCTTCAGAATTTCCAAAGCTAGAAAACACGACAGCCTTGGAAAAATTGTGAGTCATACCAAGGATTGAAAAAAATGATATAAAGTATGCTAATCTTGACCTCATCAGCAACATTACTTGCCTAAATTTGGTTTTCTTTGCAGGATGTTAAGGAACTGTAACATATCCGGAACAATCCCAGTCTATCTAGCAAATTTTTCTTTAAGATATATGTAAATCTCCTACTCCCTTATTATGCTTTTTATATTTGATAAGTCCTACTTTCTCATAATTCTATTTATTTATTCTAGATTTATTTCATGACAGACTACTACATCCCGGACTATTACTAGTAACTTATTATTTTGAGATAGATATATGTGTGCGTGAGTGTGTTTTGTATGAAATCGAGATGACATACTTGAACATACAAAATTTTATGTAAAAGAATATGAATGTAGACTTTTCAGGGGTATTTATATGAATCGACCGTAGAGTAATGTTGTATAAACAGAATTTTTTAAACATAATTTCCATATAGTTTGATATATACGTGTATGGGTTCTGCTATCTTCTTACTTGAATGAAGTAGGATAGAATTGTAGCCACTTCTTTAAACATTAATTGTCCCCACCCTCTCTATACATATTTGGAACTGTGCTCTCACAAGTGGGTGTGCATAGAAATAAAGAGGGTGCATTTAGAATCACCCAGAAAGTATAGCATTCTAAGGTTGGGGGGCTTCCATTGTTATTCTTATACACAAAAGGTAGAAGAATGGAAGGGGAAGAGGGGGACCTGATGTAGCTAACCACAAAATTTATACCAACCTGATGCAACAACTTGATTATCCACTACCATCATCATGGCCACTTAATCATCCCTTCTCTTTTTTTTTTGATAAATTGGTCACTTAATCATCTATTGCCATCACAAATGGTCGATAATTATGGCTGCAGTGAATTAATTGGTTATCGGTCATCATGGAAGAGAGTCGTGGTTTTGAAGATTGTTTAAGCAGGAAAAGAGATGAGAAATTTGATGGACAGAATTACGACCATAACCTTACACTAAAGTACCAAGGAAACTAAAAATGAAGGTAGTTTGATCTAAAACTTAAGATAATGAGTGTAAGCCAAAATTTGGTCAACCCAAACGACATATAAATGAATTGGATCTTATACAAATAAGGATATAATAGTCAATCAACTTTGTTATATTTCCATGTGCTAGTCGCATGACCTTTTTCCACCCAGAACCTAATTGTGTGCAACAGTTGGACCAATTTGATAGAAATTGAGATTTTTGGTTTTATGTGTTGCATTTGAAACTATAACAACCAAATTAAAATGAGAGTGAAAATATCATAAAATTTGATTTACCCTTTTAACATTAATCTTGATACATCACATTGATATAGCTTTTAGAAAATCTTCACTAACAAATACACGACTCAAGAAGAGTAGAACCAAGTGGATGTTATATTACAAAATAGAGTGAGTGGGTTAGTTGCATTTGTAAAAGATTCCATCTTGAAAATTATTAAAATTCATAGAACATAAAATGTCTTGCTTTTGGAAAGAAACTATTTTCATATAAAGCAATGGATTATTAATATTGTAATTAATATTTGAATTTTTTTTGTTCTACATATATTTTTATGAATTTAGAGAAAGTTACCATAGGGTACCTTGAGATATAATAGGATGGTGGGCCTTGGAGAAAAAGAAGGTAACCAAAATGTATATTGATGTGATAAAAGACATGCATGATAAAGTTGTGACTACAATTAGATCACCTATTGCATGAAAGGATAACTTTGAGTCTTTACTTGTTTGCCATATTCATGGATGAGTTGATTAAATACATTCAGGATGACGTCCCATGATATATGTTGTTCACAAATGATATTATTTTAATGGATGAAACTAAGGAATTAACATTAAATTACAAATCTATAGAGAAGTACTCGAGTAAAAGAGGCTTGAAATTTGTAAGAATAAAAATGAATATATGGAAGGTTAAATGTTACTTTATCTCCCTGTGGTTTACTTCAGATGCAATTTACCCCTCTGACATTTAAAAATAAACACATTACCCGCTATGGTTTGTGGATTAAAGTGTACTGCCTGTACCGTTAATGGCTTAACATCATTGTGTAAATCACAGACATTTTCCTCATTTTTTTATGACTCAAAATGCACTTTACCGTCTTGTGGTTTACTTCATGTAATTCTTCTTATGATGAATCTCTTAGAGTTCTTTGTTTTGTGAAAATTGTGTTGTTATTTTGTGGCAGGGACCTAAGCTTCAACAGGCTGGAAGGAAATATCCCTAACTTTGAGGGAGCCTTACATTTACAAAACATGTAAGCAATTACATTTAGGGTGACAAGAAGTCCTAATTTCTTATGGATGGAAATCCTTCCTCATCATTTGTATGTTTTATCTTCAATGTTGACAAAGAATCCCTGTTCTATAATTGCGTCGAAGAATGTGATTGGAGCTCACTTGCAGGTATTGTACCAGTTGAAGCATTGATACCTGCTGGTAGTAATCAATGGAAGACACAAGAAAATAGAATTTAAAGAATAAACATGAACACAAACACTTGGAGTGCATCCAACAATAGGGCTATATCCATGGGTGAAGACGATTAAGAACATCCACTATATAGTGTACATTGTTTTTCCCTAAAAACTATACCCAATTTGAAACACAACCAGAGTAAAAGTTCCACATGCCAAAACTCTCCAGATTTGAGATGGTACCTAGAAAAACCCAAGAACATATAGAAAATTAACCTTATAAGTTTCAAAGTATCAATCTTATATTTTGCCCCCCTTCGCAAAGAATGTGCTCCCCATCCTTTCAACACACCAAAAAGTTGGACACACTCAATTTCCTAACACTAGACCCTTTTGTAGTCTTAAACCAAATTCCTTGTTGCGCAAGGAACATTGAGTTTTCGACACACAAGAATGATTCATAAACGTTGTGTTGGGTTGGGAGATTTGGGGATGGATTTGGAAAGAGAAAGGAAAAATGTGTGTGAAACCAGGTGTCATGTAAATATATTTTATTCACATTTCAACTATATTTTTCATTTCCCTTTCCAAATCCCTCCTTAAATCCAAATCTAGCCAAATTGGAATTTGAGACAATTCACAAAAATCTTTTACTTAAATCAAAATCTGCAAAGCCACGAAGCCATATTCTCCACTAAACTTCATTCTCCACAAACTAGCATTGGGGCCTTCACCTTTGCCAATCAAGATAATCCAATATTCAACAAGATTGATGCTGTTAGTATATTATATTAGTGCTTGTAATGATGTTAGCAGTGTATAGCTGTTAGTAGTGTATATTTCCTTTACTTTTACTTTACTTTATTAGTGCCACTTTCGGCCACTTTAGGCTCCCACTTTTGGCTCCTCTCCTATATAAACGAGCTCAATTGAACCTTTGTAATACAACATTCAATACAAAATATTCAATACACAATTCTTTCTCTTTCTTTATACATAAAACTAATGTGGTATCAGAGCCATAAGATTTAGGCCTGTATTTCTTTCTCACCGGCGGGCAGCCGGTCGGTAACTTTGCCTTTGCTACCCGTTGGAATTTTCTACACATGCCTTCACTCCCTCTCTCTCTCTCTCTCTCTCTGCCAGAACCCTACATACAGAAGCTCCATTTCCTCTCTGCTGCTCGTCAAACATGGCGGCCACCGCTGGTATCCCTGGCATCTATACCAGTGCACAAAAGCCCTCTTCGCATACATCAGATCAAACTTATGATCACTCCTCGAGTTCACCTGCAAGGCCGACGCCGCCTCTCTCTGCGTCGTGGCTGCTTCCGAATCCGAACCATAAGATCGTCGACGACAGTACTGATCTCAAGTCTTCGGAATATCTGTTCGCTGATATTGATCCGTATCTGGATCTCGACATCATGGCCTCATCAGCATCATCAGCAGCAGCAATACATCTCTCCCGCCGATGGAGTTGTTCCGGTGCAGATCAAGAACATTCAACAACCGCCTTCATTGGTGGAAGGTCTACCTTGCTACGACGTAGACTACTCTGGATCTAAGCCTTTTCTGTACAATTTCAACTCTCATCAGTCTCTCAGCCATCTACAGATCCACATCCGCAACGTCCTCCTCCGCCACGAGCAAGGCGGCCTCTTCGCCGCCGAGGGCTACGCACGCGCCTCCGGCCTCCCCAGCGTCTGCATCGTACCTCCGGCCCCGGCGCCACCCACCTAGTCAGCGGCCTCGCCGACGCCATGCTCGACAGCGTTCCCGTCGTGGCCATCACTGGTTATGTCCCCAGGCGCATGCTCGGCACTGATGCTTCACTTAACTTTTAACTTTCTTTTATTTTACTATATCTCTATGTATATGTTTATTATATTCTCTTACCCAAAGCTCCCATTATGTCAACTTTTGCACAAACCCATCCTCTTTTTCTTTTTCTTCTGACGCCACTGAGTCAATCTTCCCCTTTTACACCCCACCCACGTTGCTCCACTTTTTTTTATTTTTTTATTTATTTAATCTTTCTTTTTCCCTTACAAAAAAAAAAAAAAAAAAAAACAAACAAACACAAAACAAAACACAAAAACTACCTCCATTTTCTATCTCGAGATTTCCTTATTTTAACACTCCGTTGGTGAGTTTTTCCAGATTCCTGTTCCCACTCCCTTCCTTTTATTTTATTTTATTTTTTCTATCTTTCTTTTTCCATCCATATTTCATTATTATCCATCTCAGTTGGTGAGCATCATCCCTTTTTCCATTATCTTATTATTCTTATTGTTATTATTATTATTAAAACATTCCGCTCCACTTTATCGATCCCTTTGTTTCAACCTCCAATAGGTTTCTATCTTCAAACCTATTTGAGTTTGAGGGGGGGTATTCTACATATATCATGGTGAGCATGGTTACACACCATACGAACCACCCAAGCTGGTGAGCATGGTTATACACCATGGGAACCACCCACGCCACCCCATGGCGCACTCCCTAAGTCGCCTCCTTGGTGCACCATCAAAGCTTCTACATCGGTCCGGCATGACCCCGTAAACTGTCCCGACATTGATTCCGGTCAGCTTCTACAACGGTCCGGCATGACCCCATAAACTGTCCCAACATTGATTCCGGTTAGCTTCTACAACGGTCCGGCATGACCCCGTAAACTGTCCCGACATTGATTCTGGTCAGCTTCTACAACGGTCCGGCATGACCCCATAAACTGTCCCGACATTGATTCCGGTTAGCTTCTACAAACGGTTCGGCATGACCCCGTAAACTGTCCCGACATTGATTCCGGTTAGCTCCTACAACAGTCTGACACAACCATACAGTGTCTTCACCAACGGTTCGACACGACCATACAGTGTCTTCTATCCTATTTTCCTGTTTTGTTACTCTCTCTAAACTCAAGTTGGCTAGTACCTATCCTCCTTGAGTTTGAGGGGGGCTGTTAGTATATTATATTAGTGATTGTAATGATATTAGTAGTGTATAGCTGTTAGTAGTGTATATTTCCTTTACTTTTACTTTACTTTATTAGTGCCACTTTCGGCCACTTTAGGCTCCCACTTTTGGCTCCTCTCCTATATAAACGAGCTCAATTGAACCTTTGTAATACAACATTCAATACAACATATTCAATACACAATTCTTTCTCTTTCTTTATACATAAAACTAATAGATGCAATGAAAGTTTAACAACTAGTACCTTGGTAGCATTTGCTTGTACTCAACCACAAGGAATCCCATGCCCACCCCACAAGCAACTTTGTCCTCAAGTCAACCTTCTCTTGAATAAGGGCTTATCTTTTATTGAATCTTCCTAGAATGAGCTCCATCACAACTACTCATCAGAACAATGGCAAATCAGTGGTACACTTCACAAAGGAAATCTATCTGAAACATGTTTTCTGTTTCAACTCTAGCTGTCTATGAAGCTCACTAAGACACCTGTACTCTATTACAAATGATATTGAGGTGGCTTGGAATGAATATTGCAGAGCACCTCTCAAATGTTGATTTCTGTAGTTAAAGACTTGAGAGTTTTTAAGTGGGTAGTGCTATGAATTGTCTCTCTTACTCCTTAAGGGTGTGCAGAGATTCTTCACTACTCCTGTGAACTCGTTAACCCAGCTCTCAATTTTCAATTGAAATGGCAATGTGCAACTTCTGAAATATTTAAAAAAATAGAGAACAAAATGAGAAACTGAGAGTGAACATAACATAGTAGTAAAATGAAGTAGCTATTATATTGAGAGAGAGAGAGAGAGGGAGAGAGAGAGAGAGAGAGACCTTGGTCCACCAATGCTTTGAACTGATCGATTGCTTCTTGCGTTACGGTTCCCATTGGTCTTCTCTCTCAACAAATGTACACAATGATCGAATTAACCACTTTTTCCCTTCACTTTTGTTGCTTAAATAGAGCAACTAAAGTGTGGAATTAAACACAACTTGGAGCTCATATATGCTTCAAATGTAGAAAAAGAGTAAAATCCTAAAATGATTTTATCAAAATCCTACAACATCAAAAATAAAATAAAGCCCTAGATCCGCTATGGTGAGGGAAGGGAGAGAGAGAAAGACAGAAAGACAAACCTAAATGTGGATGAGAGGGGGGAGCTGCGATGGTGAGCGACGGTGGCAAGAGCTGCAATGGTCAGCGGCAGTGGAAGTTCGAGAGTGACTATTAGCAGGGATGGTGAGTCTGTGAGAAGAGGAAGAGCAAGTGACTGAAGGCTTTTTGTTCGGATGAATGTAGACACTGATATGGAGAAATAAAAAATAACAAAAAAATAAATCATAATTAGTGAATTGGGCGGAAAATTTGAAAATACACTAAAAAATTTGGCACCTTTGCCAACTAAATATTTTTAGTCGCTGACAATATATATTTTAGTAGCTAATTTTTTGATTGTCAAAGATTAAAAGCAACATTTATGTTAGTTTTTTAGCGACTAAATTTCTTTAGTCCGCAAAAATTAGTATATAACAATTAAATATTTTTTGGTCACTAAAAATGCATATTTGCCTACTAATAAATTGGGTAGTCGCCAAAGATTTAAAGTACAATTATGCTAGTTATTTGGCTACTAAACTTATTTTAGTTGGCAAAAATTAGTACACCATGACTAAATTTTTTTTGGTCACCAAAAATGTATATTTACCGACCAAATTAGGTAGTCGCAAAAGATTTAAAGTAAAATTATGCTAGTTATTTGACTACTAAATTTGTTTTAGTCGGCAAAAATTAGTATACCATGACTAAAACAAACTTTAGTAACCTAAAATCTAAATTAACGCCGACCAATATTTTTTTAGTTGCCTATTGTGAGTTGCCTATTGTGGCATATTTAACAACTAAATTTTTGTTTAGTCACCAATAATTAATATACACTTACTACAAAATTTAGTAGCTAAACCCTGCAACAAATGCCAACCATGTAATTTTTAGTGACCTATTGTACAACTTTTGGCGACTAAATTCCTTTTAGTTGTCAAATTTGGTTGCCAAAAGTGTAAATTGTTGTAGTGAATTTTGCAGATTGAAGCAATATTAAATGGTGAGTACCTCTCAAGTTCATGGCTTCATGTTCCAACAGCATGGAGGTCTTCACCCCATGCTTCCATTGTTCCACTCATATGTAAATGACACATCACTCCTTAACTCTGTACTTCCACTCTTAAGAAAACTAGGTTGAGTGGAGTTACATATTCTTCTTTTTCTCATGTGCCTTTTACCTTTTAATTCTGCATTAAATTTGTCAAAAAGTAGCAATCTAAGTAACTGCATAACTATGGTGAGATGACATTGCTTATTGGTTAGGTATCTGACAAGGAATTTGCTTAATGGGAGTATTCCAGCATGGATCACAAGCAGAGATAGTAGATAGTATGTTATTCACCCTCAATTCTATTTTAATATTTTATTAAGCTGCTAATAATTTTCTTCTTGATAATTAGATAATAGTTAAATACATGCATATGCCTGAGCAGACATGCACACGAATTCCTCTTTTAAAAGTACATCTCATGATATCTTTGGAGGTCGTTGCAGATTTTATTCATGTCATTCACTGCTGGTGAAACTATTGACTTGATTCCAGCTGCAACTGTGTGCTCCTTGAGGCTCTTTGGTAAAATGCCCATATACTGCAACTGCGGTTGGGAAATATTCAAAAAGTCTATAAACTGGACTGTGTCATTTTGTGTTAGGTCTATTTCTTCTTCCAGTCATCATCAATCAAATTTTTTTGTCTCTGTGTGTTGTTTTGATTAGCATAAAAACTGAAATGTTTCGGAAATGTTGTTGGAACCTTTTAACAACGTTTCAAACTATGTTACCAAAAAACACAAATACCCTAGCAAATTACATATTGGTACATACGTTCCAAAAACGGTAAATTTAGTGTATGTTATTCACCCTCAATTCTATTTTAATATTTTATTAAGCTGCTAATAATTTTCTTCTTGATAATTAGATAATAGTTAAATACATGCATATGCCTGAGCAGACATGCACACGAATTCCTCTTTTAAAAGTACATCTCATGATATCTTTGGAGGTCGTTGCAGATTTTATTCATGTCATTCACTGCTGGTGAAACTATTGACTTGATTCCAGCTGCAACTGTGTGCTCCTTGAGGCTCTTTGGTAAAATAGCCATATACTGCAACTGCGGTTGGGAAATATTCAAAAAGTCTATAAACTGGACTGTGTCATTTTGTGTTAGGTCTATTTCTTCTTCCAATCATCATCAATCAATTTTTTTTGTCTCAGTGTGTTGTTTTGATTAGCATAAAAACTGAAATGTTTTGGAAATGTTGTTGGAACCTTTCAACAACGTTTCAAACTATGTTACCAAAAAACACAAATACCCTAGCAAATTACATATTGGTACATACGTTCCAAAAACGGTAAATTTAGTGATTCGAAACAATTCCAAAAAAATTTTTCCAATAAAAATCAAATGTATGAACTAAAATCTAAGGTGAGTTAAGTTTTGACAAGACAAAAAATAAAAATGGGTCATAATTTTCATAGAAATGATTTGCTACATGAAGGAAAAAAAAAATTATTGAATACCTAATAGTTAAAAGAAAATTACTCTACCTTAAATTCTGAAATGTAATATATATAAGTCTACTCCTATTGTACCAAATTTTAGAGCATGTGGCGTACCCCGTTCCCGTTCCATGCACTTGAACGATCCACGTTCTAGGTAACATAGGTTTCCAAAGAGACAAAAAAAAGTTTGAAAATACATAGAAATGCTTGGAAACATAAATTGAAATCTATTTAAATATATAAAAGCCTAGTAAACATAGTGATATGTATATGGTCATTCACATAAAAGAACAAGTGTAAATTCAAAAAAATAAAATAAAAAAAACTCAATTTTATCAAACACAAGTGTATATAATTCTAAAAGTGTGTAACATCCCAACAAAATAAGGTCTAAAAATGTACTTAGATTGTACTAATATTAGTATTATTATATTGCTAGCAATAATATTTATTAATACAGTAAAATATAACCTTTTATATTTATTCTAATAGAATTATAAAAAAAAATATGAAATATTCTAATTATGTCAACAAAACTCACTGTTTTGGCATATTGTATTGTGATTTAGTGTGTTTTGCTTGCTTGTTGATGGAAACACAAGAATTCCATTATTCCACTAATGTTTTGCTTCGGTCTTTTTGGAAATGGACATGTTTCAGCTGTTTCAATGGAAACAAATAGAAATTTTGTTCCTTGCGGGTCATATCTCAATATACAATGAGTGTGGGATCTATGAATCCTTTGTATTTTTTTTTATTATTTTGTGGAGTTATCATGAATTTTCAAATGAAATGATTTTATGCAGCGTAATAGATCTTTCGTACAACAACTTTATTATGCAAGTTGTGCCTTGTAAAGATACCCTGTAAGATTTTCTCTCTATCCCGGGGCTTCATTGAATTTGCAAGCACTTCTTTTTTGTTTTTTCACTTGTTCTTTTGCTTTCTTCCTTTCCTTTCCCTTAATTTTTATCTTTTATTTTTATCAAATCAGTAACTTGTTCAGAAGCTTCTCCGGTGGAAACTTGTAAGCTTCTAACTCACATTTGAAAAGTTACAGTTCGCATTTCAGTTCAATCGTATTATACTAGTGATTCGAATCAAAACATTATCCTCCTCTCCTCCTTTGCCCTCACTATTTTTATACTTTTTTTTTCTTTTTCTTCATGCTATTAATTCAGGGAAATTAGCGAGTGCCTGAAGGTCTCTCCTTGTCCAAAACGTGAGTATATATTTCTCATAATCAAAACTCAATGTTATAGCTTAGTTTTATATTTATTTCTTCAATTCTTCCTTGTTGATATCAAACTTCACGACAACCTATGTTACATGGATTCAATAGGTCGGGTGCAAGTACATATGTAGAGGTCAGACCCATCAAACCTCAAATTAAGGATATGCAGACTCATTAAAAAGGGTCATATTTTTAATTTATTATGTGAGATAATATAGTGTTATATAAAATGTACAATGTCGAAAAGGTATTTTATAATAATAGTGTTAATAAAGTATCGAACACATATTCCACACCATTGTCTAAGAGTTGGGTGTTTGACATGCATATTTAATTTGTCCAAGAGTTGAGTGTCCGACATACGTATTTAATTTATTTTAAAAAGTAGATGTAACATATGTGGCGACTACATTTGGTTGACCCTTCATGTTGCAAAGGGAGAAAACACACACACACACACTCATTTTTTATTAGTACATTGGAGGCCGTAGGTGGGAAGGGGAGACTTGTCTCTGACAAGATTTGAAACCGTGACCTCCTACTGATGTGCAAGGAACCTGACCAATTGGGCTACCCCCAATCAATACACACACTCATTTAAATATGAAATATAGCTTTATCCTTTTTTTTTTCTCTTTCATATGATCACACATGATGGATTTCTTCAGAAGATGGGTATTCCTTGCATATAAATTGTGGTGGAGGACAAACGAAAGTTGGAAACACTATGTATGTAGCAGATGAATTGCAGGGAGGTCCAGCGACATTGCAAGCAGCACAAAATTGGGGATTTAGTAGCACTGGACATTTCTGGGATGTCAATGCAAATGCAAAGTACTATACGACCCAAAATGTTTCTGTTCTTACAATGAATGAGTCTCAATTGTACACAAGCGCTCGCCTCTCTCCTCTGTCTCTTACTTATTATGGGCGTTGCTTAGCAAATGGGAACTACACAGTGACCCTTCATTTTGCTGAGATAGTTTTCAGAGACGATGGATCCTATCAGAGTCTTGGTAGACGAATATTCGATGTTTATATCCAGGTAGTTAATATCATTGTAATTGCACCTTTTATTATGCAAATGGAAACATATTTGGTTAATTGGTTTGTTACAGGATGAACTAGTTTTGAAGGATTTTGATATTGAAGCTGTTGCACAAGGGGTTGACAAGGCTGTAGTTCGAAAATTTAACAACACAGTTGTTAAGAATAAGACTATAGAGATTCGCTTTTACTGGGCAGGGAAAGGGACAAGAGCTGTTCCTATTCGAGGAATTTACGGTCCTCTCATATCAGCTATTTCTATAGAATCCAGTAAGTTGTGTTCTGTTTAGGCTTTCCTTGTTTGTTTCTCAATGGTGAAACATCATCCTATCCCCCTCATGCTTGTGTTTGAGATTCTTTCTGTTACATTCTATATGATACTTGCAGATGATTGAATCAATGGCATGGTAAAGTCATTCCCCGACTCTTGAGATGAGATCTGAAAATTGTAAATTTAGATGATTGAATCAATGGCAGGGTAAAATTATAATCTATGAAGCACGGATACTTCAAATAGGAAGACGTATCCGTGTCGGATACCGATACTCCTCGGATACTTACGGATACGTATCAGGTATCAGATATTTATTAAAAATATCAGATACTTCTTAATTAATTTTTCATTAATTTTGAAGTATCGGATACTTAGTTTTGAAGTATCGGATGCTCCAAGTCACATATTATTGGACATTTCTTAATTAATTTTGAAGTATCAAATGCTCCAAGTCACGGATTACTCCTTTTATGAAATTAGAATTGTATCATTTCTTGCATAACATCATAATATAATATAATTGCGAGGATAAATAGAATATTTTTATAATACTTTGCTTATTTTGTTTTCTGGTTTTTTTTTATAAAAATAACATAGTAAGCTCAAATAATAGAAGTCATCAAATTGGCATATCTTTATTATATCATGCGTGTCCCCTACAACTACATAGAAGTAAAGATTAATAAGATAATATAACAATAGTAAAAAAATTATTGTTACTTTAAAAATTGAGAGTTTGTCATTATTTATTATCTTTTATTAAAAATGATTGATAAGAAATATCTAAAAAAAAGAAAAGGTAAGATAGTGATCTCATATAGAAACCTTTGTTAACTTATTACCTATTAAACTATGTGATCATCATTCAACATAATATTTTCATTTATCTAAGTCTAAATATTAATATTTCATATTCATAAAATATATTTAATATTCAAGTATGTAGATATATTTTTCTAAGTAATTTATAAAATGTGACCGAATCTTTACGATTTATGATTCAATTCAATTCAATTCACAATTCGGTATGAAATCATTTCGATCTATGAAGCACAGATACTTCAAAAAGGGTGACGTATCCGTATCGGATACTTATCGGATACCGATACTCCTCGGATACTTACGGATACGTATCAAGTATCAGATATTTATTAAAAATATCCGATACTTCTTAATTAATTTTTCATTAATTTTGAAGTATCGGATACTTAGTTTTGAAGTATCGGATGCTCCAAGTCACATATTATTGGACATTTCTTAATTAATTTTGAAGTATCAAATGCTCCAAGTCACGGATTACTCCTTTTATGAAATTAGAATTGTATCATTTCTTGCATAACATCATAATATAATATAATTGCGAGGATAAATAGAATATTTTTACAATACGTTGCTTAGTTTTTTTTTTTATAAAAATAACATAGTAAGCTAAAGTAATAGAATTCATCAAATTGACATATCTTCACTGTATCATGCATGTCCCCTATTACTACATAGAAGTAAGGATTAATAAGATAATATAACAATAGTAAAATTAAATATCAATAAATAAATAACCAAACAAACTTGCATAGAATATTTTTGATTAGTGCAAAAGGAAAAACCATAGGGTCAAGTTGTGGATTGTTTTGATATTATAATATCAACAGATTAGACTTGATATTAAAATGAAATATTTGTAAGAGCTATTGAAAATTTAAAAACTAAACTAGCTACTGCCTTAAATTAATACCTAATTCTTAAAGATTAGTATTTTGCATTATAAAAGTACTGTGGTTTCTCAACATTCTTGAGCTTATGTGTAACTCACTGCTAATAATTTATTTATTTATTTATTACAAACATATCATAGCCGTACCCGTAGCTTACTTTTTTAGGTTTTGTTGTATCGCCATATCCGTATTGTATCGTATCCGTATCCCGTATCCATATATGTGCTTTCTAGATTATAATTTTCAGCTTTATAATGGCCATGATTCTACTCTTACTAGTTGATTTTTCTTTGAAGTGTTGAATAATTTCTTACGGAAGGAATTTCAAATATTGGTGAGGCTTTGGACAAAAGTTGTCAATTATAGATGCAACCTTATGCATGCTTTATCTGATTTTGCGATGTAGATTTCAAGCCTCATTCTGATCAGAGAAAGAAGATAGTCATTGTAGTTGGAGCTGTAACTTTTTCATTATGCCTCGTGTTCACGATTCTATTTACCTTTTGGCGGAGAGGCCATTCAAAAAGCATTACTTCAAGGGAACAAGGTCACCTATTTCTACTTAATGTTTTATTTTTTTTTTTGAAATGCCAACAATGTACTGACATGTATTCCAGGTATTGCAGAACGTAGGAACAATATATGACAGATGGTGAAATTGTGGTTGTTTGTCAACATTTTAATCCTCTTGAGTAGGCCTCCAAAATACTGACAATATGAATTTTTGAATAAAAGTTGTACATCTTTTTCTTCTTTCTTCTGAAGTAGTGGAGAGTATCAGAAAAAGACTCTCCATATTGTCAAATTAATCCTGTTTTAAATGTCTTGAGCTTGTTTGATAAATAATATCGTTATGATACCAAAATTCCCTTGCTTATATCTAAATGTCCCTTATAGACATCCCTTAATAGTTGAAAGTAATTGTTTGAGTTAAGAATGCTAACCATCTCTCATGCCACGAATTAGTACTGTGGAGCTGTAGAGCAACAAAAGAAAATTTGGAACCTTATAACAAGTTGGGATTGTTTGTAGGTGTTGAAAGACTGAACTTCTCTTTTCGTTGTTCCAACTTTTCTGCAACCAAACAATGTTAGTTATTTGATGATGCAGTCAAAAAAATAAAACTACTTGTTCTTTTGCAGAACTAAGAGGATTAGATTTGCAAACTGGTTTATTTACCTTCAGACAAATTAAAGTTGCCACTAACAACTTTGACGATAACAACAAAATTGGGGAAGGCGGTTTTGGATCTGTGTATAAGGTATATCGTAATTAATTGTATTTTTGTACTATGTCATATTCACTTTCTGTTTTTTGTTTATGCTATGATGTCATGTGGAGATGTCAATTCCATGTTAAAGTGTTACTAAAAAATAAGTTGTTATTTCAATGCAGGGTATATTACTAGATGGTACTATAATTGCAGTTAAGCAACTTTCTTCCAAATCAACGCAAGGAAATCGTGAATTTGTTAATGAGATTGGTATGATCTCTGGTTTACAGCATCCAAATCTTGTAAGATTGTACGGATGTTGCATTGAAGGGAATCAACTACTATTGGTGTATGAATACATGGAAAATAATAGCCTTGCCCGCGCTCTATTTGGTAACTTAATGTTTTCAGTTGTGTATATTTCGTTAGTTGAACAAGATTATCAAGAAAATATTATGGAGCAACAGAGCTTACCAGTGTTGATGCTGTAGCTCATGCAGTTATGTTCAATCCCCAACATTCCCCTCTCCTAGCCCTCAAGACTAGGCTACAGTAGGAATTTCTAATGTCAAAAAAAAAAAAAAGATCTGTTTTTTTCCTTTCCTTGTTTTTTTGTCTCCTTCTTGATTTGCTATTTCTTGTCAATTATAGGTCCAAAGGAATGGCAATTGAATTTGGGTTGGCCTACCAGGCTAAGGATTTGTATTGGCATAGCAAGAGGTTTGGCATTCCTTTCAACTTTCGGTGATAATTTAAAATTTTCATCACAGAAAAATATCACTAATTGTAAATTTTAACAAATAGCAAGAGGTTTGGCATCCCTGCACGAGGAATCAAGACTGAAAATTGTTCATAGGGACATCAAGGCTACCAATGTGCTACTTGATGGGGATCTTAACCCCAAGATCTCTGATTTTGGTCTGGCTAAGCTTACCGAAGATGACAACACCCACATTAGCACCAGGGTTGCTGGAACTATGTAAGCTACCAAAATTTCTCTTTCCTTCATAAGACAAACACTGTCCCCACATTTTTAGAAGTAATTATATCTAAGATGCCACCTTAGAAAAGGCTAGAAATATATAGGTATCTCCTTTATTACTGGCCATGTGTTCCTCACACATCGTTATGAAGACCTACCCGTGTTAGCCTTCAAGGGACACATGAACAGTCTACGTGTTCGATCTTACTCAAATAGGACTAAATCGACCCATAGTATCTCGTTATATGCCCAACTCCTAAGACTTCATTCTTAAGAAGTTTGCCAACCAGACATCCTGCAAAAATTAAGAGTTTGGGCATCATCTCCCTGTCGTTGAAGTCTCATAGCTTGTCATTACATTGTGGTGGTCATACAACACATCTTATAACATGGTAGTGGTTTTACTTTGTCCTTTATTGTGGTGATAGTATTGCATTGCTATGTGGTAATTTCAATAACTTTTCATCACTAAGCTGTCTAGTTCTGATCATATTTGATCACCTTGAAAATTGCATGAATGCTTGCAAATTGCCAAATAAGGTTGTGTATTGTTAGCATTTACCACTTAAAACTACTGATAATGTTCGAGCTGTACTAAAAAGTATATATTGTTAAAATAAAATAAACAAAATTATGTTTGTTGTGCAGAGGGTACATGGCCCCAGAATATGCATTATGGGGTTATTTAAGCAACAAAGCAGATGTTTACAGTTTTGGGATTGTTGCATTGGAAATTGCTGCTGGAAAGGACAATATGAAATTTCGTACTAGTGATAAATATGTCTGTCTGCTTGATTGGGTAAGTTCTTGGTTCTTGAAGGTTTAGGGTTGAATATACTTTAAAGATGTTTCTTGCTTTGTGACCTATCTGTTTGGCTTAATTGGCCAACTATGACTTGAGTTAACACAAACTTAGCAGGAAGTTGAACTAACCTGAAATGGTTTCGTCAATGAGCATTTGAGCCAATTGCCATTTATTGTTTGCAAGGCTTTAAATTTTGATTGGTCTTGAATGTTTAGTTTTTATTGAAATGTTAGTGGATTACTTATATTCAGGATAACTGATATTCCAATAACCCTGGAAATTTAGAGTGAAAAAGCTTGAAGACAGCCAAAATTTGGTTTCTCATCAAGGACATAAAATCAAAAGAGAATGCCTTTTATTTGAAATTTTCACCCAACATGAAACATTGCTTTTCCGAGTCAGTTTTAATCTTGTTTGTCCATGGTGGGCATGACTAGTGGTTGTTCATACCCAAGTCTACTTCCATAAATGTTCTATTTTCTTACTTGTTTATTATTATTATTATTATTTATTTATTTTTTGATTTGGTGGTTGGGGGGTTGCTAGGATCATTATTTGCCCGGTTCATTTCATATCAGTATCATTCTTGTGCTTGTTTCAGGCCCTTGTTTTGCAACAAAAAGGGCGTTTAATGGAGTTGGTGGATCCAAAGTTGGGTCCTGATTTCGACAAGGAAGAGGCAATAAAAATGATCAAGATAGCATTATTATGCACTAATCCATCTCCGGCACATAGGCCTGCCATGTCTGCAATAGTAAGCATGCTTGAAGGTCATCTTGACATTCAGGACTTAGTCATGGATCCAAGTATCTATGGTGATGAATACAGGTTCAGATCCCTCAAAGACAAGTACGATGAGCTGCAACTGCAGAGTTCGAATGAAGCTCAGAGCCTTATTGATTCAACGGTCACGACACAAATTGGATCTTCCTCTGCATCTACCAATGATCTTTATCAAATCAATCTTGATTCTGCGTAACGCTGCCAGCATGAGGATGTGTCTTGGTGGGTTCATTATATTTTCTGCAATGCCTTCATTAGCATTTTTTTTAAAAAATTTTTTAGAAGCAGTAGTATGCATTGACTATTGCTTTCAAATATATGAAAAGTGCTTTCAAGAGGCTCATCAAATAGTGCTTTAGATGTGTATGCAGCCTTCATGTTTCACCTACTCTCACATTTGGCCTACAATAGCTTAATATCTTTTTTCCTCTATTTTTTTGGCAAATTATACTTTGTCCTTTAAATACAATCATTTTGTCAATTTGATTGTTAAACTTGAAGTTTTATTTATTTATTTTTTGTACCCAAGCGGTAGTCCAAGTGGTCTCATGAGCAGAGACACTTAGATACGAATGAGCTGAGGTCTAAAGTTTAAGTCAATGAAGTGGTGTCTGTTTTTGTTGTCAATTTTTTGTTTTGTTTTTGTTGATAACTTATTGAACATTCATTAATAGAACCATTAAAAGACCATTTATTCATTAAAGGTCTAATTAGTGAAAGAAAAAGTGTATTTAATTAAGAGGTCTGTTATTAGAACCTGTCTAAATTCTTTGGACCTCCCATTTCTTTGAGCCTCCACCCTAAACCCTAAATTTTAATAAAATTTCTTTGAACACCCTACTTAATACCAAATTTATCCCTATCCATAATATTATCACACCTAAGGCACACCCACCTAATTTTTCACACCCTTTCTCCTTCTTCTTTTGATGACTGTCCATCTCCTATTAAAAAAAATGATGATAGCCATTGCATCAGTAAACACCATTGTCTTAATGAAGAGCATTGCATCGACATTCCATCATTGAAATTCCTATTGGCTCTTAACGAAAGGAGAAATCGATTAAACAGTGTCCAAAGACTACCGTCGAAAAACTCGTAGACTCCCCATCTTATCAACAACATTGCCTCTCTTCTTTCTATCACATTTTTGTTTTTTGGTTTATTTCAGCATAAAAGGGAGTTTTAGAGGGAAAAACCCTCACAAAAAATACAACCTAGTGTTGAAGATACACAAATTGAACTATTCGGCACAACAGTCCCGAAAATAAAGGTCATGTTCGGTTCAACAGTACTGACTATCTACATTATTGTTCAGAATCCATATATTGAACTAAATGTTTGTGTTCGGTATTGTGTTACCGAACATAATCTTAACAGTTGGCAAACTAATACCGAACATCTCAAACAAAACAACAACGATTGAAAACAACCGAGAATGTTAATGCAAGATAGATAAACTTATCAATGGAATGCCAGCTTTATCAGGATTTAAGATGGTTGTGAAGAGTAACATGTTTATGGTTTATGTTGGTTGGTTATTGTTAGGTTTTATTCTTGGCAACCCCGTTTGACAAAACTCCTTTCAGTTATATTTGTTTTCGCACTTTTATTTCAGTGAGGCTATGAGTGTTTAGATACGAATCCAACCCGAATTGTGCCTTTCAGAGAAGTTTGTGATGCTAATGCTTTCAAGATTGCCACTTCGTTGATTATGACGGGGATCGAGCTGCCCAGTCAGCTCGCGGGGGTCCAGGGGGCAACGCCCCTTGGCGGGTCCGGGGCAGCGCCCCTGAAGCAAAATGCAAAAATGCATTCCAAGTTGCCTGTCCGCTCGAGCGGAGAATCCTTGGTTCCAGCAGTTTTGGTTGCCTGTAAAAGTACTGAGATGTGTGATTTCGCGCTCGAGCGGGTTCTCTAGCGCTCGAGCAGACTCTGTTATATCACGCGCATATTTTGCTGAAGCCGCTTGAGCGGGCTGTTGGGCGCTCGAGCGGAGATCGTGGGACAGATTCTATAAATACGCGTGTTGGGTCAGATTTTAGGATTACTACTTCAGATCTTCTTCTTGGGTTCTAGGGTTTATATGTGGGGATATTTTGCTAGTTTTCTTTGATGTTTTGTTTGAGTATTCAACTCATGGTTTAAAGATTATACATCAAAGGTTTGTTTGTTTATTCTACACAAAAGAGAGAGTTGTTCTTCGGTGGATTCTGAAGAATTCGAGCCTGAAGCTTTGGTGGATTCCGGAGTGGCTCATCGTAAAGACAATTCCAAGGTGAAGACGGGTTGGAAGAGGCACATAGAGGTTGGTTCGATTAGGCGTGGGTTTGCTAGGTAATTGAAAGTATACCTGTGTAATTCCTTTAAATCTTCTTAGTGGATTGTTTTGTTGTTATTGCCCGTAGTTTTTTAATCACAGTTGGAGGTGTCCAATTGTGGTTTTTCCATGTTAAAATCGTTGTGTTTATTTGTCTTGATTGTTTGATTGGGATTGTTATATACTGCTTAAAATTGTTACATAATCACAAATCAATATCTAGGGGATTTCTAGATTTTTCAAATGAAGAGTAACAGGTTTAGGGTTTAAAAAGGTGGAATACTTATAGTTGGAGGTGGAGCTAGGGGTAGGGGTGGGGGTGGAGCTGGTTGTATAATATTGTATAGTGTTAGTTATTATTTGATAGGTGGATGTTCTATTAAATGATGTTTTTTAATATAATTTTACTTCATAATATAATTGTAATAAAAGAAAAATTAAAAATTACGAGTTAAAAAAATTTAGACAGATGGTAATACATGAACTCTTAATTAAACCAAATATGTTGAGTCTTGATAGTAGACTAGTGGTGCCCATTGATGACAACTTTAGAAGAGAGTTGTTAATGATTTATTATTATTTTTTAATAAAAAAGTCTATTGTAGTGTTAGTTATTATTTGGTAGGTGGATGTTCCATTAAATGATATCTTTTAATATAATTTTACTTCATAATATAATTGTAATAACATAAAAATTAGAAATTAAGAGTCTAAAGAATTTAGATAGACGGTAATAGCTGCACTCTTAATTAAACCAAATATGTTGAGCCTTGATAGTAGACTAGTGGTGCCCATTGATGACAACTTTAGAAGAGAGTTGTTAATGATTTATTATTATTTTTTTAATAAAAAAGTCAATGAATTGGATCTGATACAAATAAAGATAAAATAGTCAATGAACTTTATTATACTTCCATGTGCTAGTCACATGACCTTTTTCCACCCATGTACCTAATTGTGTGCAATAGTTGGACCAATTTGAGAAATTGAGATTTTTGGTTTAATGTGTTGTAATTGAAATTGTAACAACCAAATTAAAACAACACTAAAATGTCATAAAATGCAATTTACCCTTCTAACATTAATCTTGCCACATCATATTGATATAGTTTTTAGAAAATCTTCACTAAAAAATACATGACTCAAGAAGAGTAGAACAGGTGGATGTTATATTACAAAACAGAGTGAGTGGGTTAGTTGCATTTGTAAAAGGTTCCATCTTGAAAATAATTAAATTCATAGAACATAAAATGTCTTGCTTTTGGAAAGAAACTATTTCATGTAAAGCAATGGAATTTTAATATTGTAATTAATATTTGAATTTTTTTTCATTCTACATATATTTTTTATGAATTTAGAGAAAGTAACGATAGGGTACCTTGAGATATAATACGATGGTGGGCGTCGGAGAAAAAGATTGATGTGTTAAAAGACATGCATGATAAAGTTGTGACTACAATTAGATCACCTACACAAGAGAAACTAGTGAATTTTCTATCATTTAAGGACTGCATCAAGGGATAACTTTGAGTCTTTACTTGTTTACCTTATTCATGGATGAATTAATTAAGTACATTCAGGATGATATCACATGGTATATGTTGTTCACAAATGGTATTATTGTAATGGATGAAAATAAGGAATTAACACTAAATTACAAATCTATAGAGAAGTACTCAAGTAAAAGAGGCTTAAAATTAGTAAAAATAAAAATGAATACATGGAAGGTTAAATGTCACTTTATCTCCTTGTAGTTTACTTCAGGTGCAATTTACTCCTCTGACATTTGGAAATAAACACATAACTAGCTATGATTTGTGGACTAAAGTGTACTGCTTGTATCGTTAATGGTTTAAATGAAAAGATGAATTACTTTTGTACTTAAGTAACATCATCATGTATATCACAGACATTTTCATCATTTTTTTATGACTCAAAATGCTCTTTACCCTCTTGTGCTTTACTTCATGTAATTCTTATGATCAATCTCTTAAAGTTCCTTGGTTTGTGAAAATTGTGTCATTATTTTGTGGCAGGGAACTAAGCTTCAATATGTTGCGAGGAAATATCCCTAACTTTAAAGGAGCCATATATTTGCAAACCATGTAAGTAATTACATTTAGGACAACAAGATGTCATAATTTCTTATGCATGGAAATCCTTCCTCGTTCATTTGTATTTATCTTTCAGTGTTGACAAAGAATCCCTCTTCTATAATTGCACCAATAAGAATGTGATTGGACGTTTGGAACTCACAAATTATGTCTAGCAGGAACTCACTTGTAGGTATTGTGCCAGCTGAAGCATTGATACCTGCTTGTAGTAATCAATAAAAGACACAAGAAGATAGAATTTAAAAAATAAACATTAAAACAAACACTTGTAGTGCATCCAACAATAGGTCTATGTCCATGGGTGAAGACAATTAAGAACATCCACTATATAGTGTACATTGTTTTTCCCGAAAACTATACCCAATTTGAAACACAACGAGAGTAAAAGTCCCAAATGCCAAAACTCTCCATATTTGAGATGGTACCTAGAAAAAAACCCAAGAACACGTAGAAAATTAACCCTATACTTTTCAAAGTATTAATCTTATATTTCGCCCCCCGAGAATGTGCTCCTCGTCCCTCCAAACAAATCAAAAAGTTGGACGCACTCAATTTCCTAACACTAGATCCTTTTTGTAGTCTTAAACCAAATTCCTTGTTGCACAAGAAACATTGAGTTCTCAACACACAAGAATGATTCACAAAAGGAAATACAACCAAATTCGAATTTGAGACAATTCACAAAAATCTTCACCTTAAATCAAACCACGAAGCCAACTTCTCCGCTAAACTTCATCCTCCACAAACTAGCATTAGGGCCTTCACCTTTGCCAATCAAGATAATACAATATTCAACAAGATTGATACAATGAAAGTTTAACAACCAGTACCTCGGTAGCATTTCCACCTTGACCTCTTATAGACCACAAAAATTTGCTTGTACTCAACCACAAGGAATAACGATGCCCACCCCACAAGCAACTTTGTCCTCAAGTCAACCTTCTCTTGAATAAGGGCTTATCTTTTGTTGAATCTTCCTAGAATTAGAGCTCCATCACAACTGCTCATTGGAGCAATGGCAAATCAGTGGTACACTTCACAAAGGAAATCCATATGAAACATATTTTTTGTTTCAACTCT